TTGCAGCTATGCAATGCAGAAAACGCATATTGACGAGGGGTTGTCTGTGTGTCCGTGTGTCTGTGTATGCGTCTGTCAAGCACTTTCATCTCAAGACCTAGAAGAGCCGCGGAGCTGAAATTTCGGGAACTTAATCTGCATGCACGTGCCAGCGTCAGTCCCGAAAATGGGCGGCAACACCCGCGTGGTACACGCGTACGGGCTCGCCAAGATTTTTTTGGGCTATGTTCATAACTCGGGGATCTGAGAAGCTAGAACGCTAAAACCTTAGAGGGATGTTCCCCGTCCTAGTAGGTGTTAATGCGCTGAAACCCATCCTCCGGGTAAACGTGGTATCCGCGTACGGGCCGCCAAAATTTTTTTCGGTAAGTTCATAACTCGAGGATCTGAGGAACTAGAGCGCTGAAATCTTAGTGTAGTGTTGCCCGTCCAAGTAGGCATTAACGAGTTGAAACCCTGCCGCGGGTAAGCGTGGTGCCTGTGTACGGGCCCTTGAAAGTTTCTTCCGGTAAGTTGCTAACTCGGAAAAGTGTGAAGCTGGAAGACTGGGTTTTTGAGGGATGTTTCCTGACAGTCCTGGCGGCCAGTCTGAAATTCTTTTAGCTAGAAGCATCTGCCGGAAAAACCAGTGCCGTTCGCGATAAAAATCTGCAGCGAGCTATGCAAAAAACGCATCTTCGCACGGACAGCCCGTGCGTTGGCCAATTATTGCATTTTTGCACAGAACGAACCGAATGTATCCAAATATTGAATCTTGCATGATTGTGCATGATATAAAGAGAAAAGCCCAAATCGAAGCTTGGCACAACTGCAGCGGTATGTAGAAGCCTCCAAGTAACATCGCTAATGTGGGATCCCCAAACCAATTACTGAGACGGCCTTGCTACTGATATTTTTGATTGGGAGTAAGAAAACGATCATGGGTTTTGCTTCTTAGAAGTATTTTCAAAATTTTTGTTTTTCGTGTTTTAAAAAAAAAAGTTTTCGTGAAAAAAGTTTTTTTGCAAGTGGTCAAGCCATAGTCTGTTAAAATCCAAGTCTACTGCTGTTCTTCTAGAACTTGTTGACCAGTTACCATTAGCAAGCGATTAGCTTATCCAGCCTGCCAGGGATTAAGGGAATGCTGAGCTCAGATTGTTAATAATTGTTGGGAGAAGCTAATAGTTCGTAGATGGGAACCGTTTATTAAGACTGTTGGGCTTGGTATAATAGCAAGCAGAGTTAAGAGTTAGTGATTCGACTTCGCCAGAAGGGCAGTTAGTTTTGCTAGGCGACTTTTTTAATTAGCAAATGTGCCAGGAAGTCAAAACAGCCATCAACTTGCTTCCAAGCAACGCTCTTGGCAAAAGCCATGCTCAGTCTTATCAGCGAGTAGTTCTCGTTTGCCCGTAGTACTTCTATTTTTCTTATAAAAATTGAAATTTCAATTTGATTTCAACTTGTATTTCATTTTTTTTTTATTTTCTGAAAATGACTGAAAATTTTCGAGACAAATTTTCGCAATGAGAGCATTTCAGGAAGATGATTTGGACGCTACAGTTAAAAGATATACGAAAAAAGATGCGAGTACATTTTTGCGAAGCAGTGAAACGGGTATTGTCGATCAGGTAATATCTTTTAAAGAATAATGACCTATTTTATATTCTGAATAAAGCAGCAGGGAGAGTTCTGTTGTTTAATTAACTTTTTCATCTGTGTACTCAAATTTTTGCTTACTTTTTGCCTAAATGCTTCTGTGAAATGTTCAGAAACCTTTAGGTTATGCTAACTTTGAATACTGATGGCAACAAGTTTGTGAAAATTCGTGTGCGATCGGTACGCTTACCGCAAATTGGCGATAAGTTTGCGTCCAGGCACGGCCAGAAAGGCACAATGGGAATGATGTATCGGCAGGTTAGTGTTTAGCCTGTTCGGCCGCACTGGAATTCGTATGGAAAAAATAATCAGTGGAAGAATTAGTGGAACTTTTTCTTGTTAAATTTTTCACACAGCGTTAAATTTGCATTTGAAAAAAATTTGATATTTATTTAGTCGTTTTGGCTAGGATTGTGCAGTCTGCGAGTTTGATTCCCTGAGCTTTATGAATTGACACATCTCATCTGGTTGTTTTGAAAATTTTGTATAGAGACAGGGAGGAAGAAATGCTATAGAATTTTATAGGAAGATATGAAATTTTAGAATTTTATAGGAAGATATGCCATTTACGAATGAAGGAATTACCCCGGACATTATAATCAATCCTCATGCAGTGCCATCGCGTATGACAATTGGACATTTAATTGAATGTTTGCAAGGAAAGGTATGCGTACACCTAACTTACGGAAATTGTCAGCAGCTCTGCACCGTTGTCATGGAACTCCTTCGTCCGACTCGTCGTTTTTGACAGAGCGACGCCCCATTTCGTATTGGGTTTCTTTACTGTGCAGACATATATTAGCTATGGTTTTGATATTATACTTGTTACTGCATCGCCTTATTTTTTTCTTTTTTGTCCGTTGTTGCTTGATAGCGAGCAAAAAGTACAGCGATGTAATAACAGCTGAGCCCAGGCATAGCTGCGCTTGGTGCGCAGGAGCATCCTAGTAACAACGCTAACAGGGGGATCCTAAACTGCTAGTCCGAGTGGTCTCGCTATACCTGCTATCGGATGGTGGCTAGCAACGTCTCCACGATGATAAGAAGAAAAGGACCGAAACAGGGACGTGAATTGGTGTCACTATTACTAATATGGTAAATTAAATATGTAGAATTAGTTGCAATAAGCAAGCTACTAACTGAGCTCGTTGCACTTTTTTTTTTTGCTATTTTTTACTGCAGTTGAAAATGCTTCGAAGAGCTCTTAATTGACATCTTGAGCAATTTTTTTCAGCTGCTTTGACCAATGCTGCCTCATTTAGTGGTCAGTATGGTGGGCAATCCTGAAATTCGTTTCATCGCAGCAGTTGAGTTGAGTATATCTTGAAAATGCTTTGTGTATTTGTAATTTTCCCGATTTTTGCAGTTGTCAGCGAATAAGGGTGAAATTGGTGATGCAACACCTTTCAATGACACTGTTAATGTCCAAAAAATTAGTAATTTGTTGCAAGAGTATGGTTATCATTTACGTGGCAATGAAATCATGTACAATGGACATACGGGCCGCAAGCTAACAACACAGGTAACTAGTCTTTCCAAATGCTTTCAGGTCAGACTTTTTTCTGTGGAATGGTCTCCGGGTTTCGTTGTTTTTTGCTAACTGTGGACTGATTTCGACTTCCAGTTCAGAGCCTTCTCGCATCCAAAATTATGCCTTCGCCTTTTACAAAGAATGAGTACGGAGGGGCATTCTGGCGTAGCAATGTGGTGATTAGTTGTCACATACATAAGCTTTAACTGCCTTCAATTTACTCCCAAACTTAGTTCGAGTACATTAATGGGAGGATTAATTCCTTGGAACAAATTGATTCATTTCGATGCTAGCGCGTCTAGCATGCAAAGTAGCCAAGCCATCTTTATCTTATGACTTCTCAAGCATTTTTTAGGATAGAGCAGCATCGATAGTTCTGTCTGCCGGCCGGCATTTCATGCTGGAGCACCGTTTAACGACTGCTGCTCTTTATAATAGTGATGAAATGCTGGGAATTTTGATTTGACATTTAAGAGTGAAAAGTAATGTTGTTGCAGCACTGTGACTAAAAAAGGATGTTACTTATATCCAGTTGCTTTCATTTAAAATTTTGTTTTTTACAGGTATTTTTGGGGCCAACGTATTATCAGCGGCTGAAGCATATGGTGGATGATAAAATTCATTCAAGAGCTCGCGGACCAGTGCAGATGATGAACAGACAGCCAATGGAAGGCAGAGCCAGGTACTCCTTTTGTCTCGGATTCTGGCCATGTGCTTTATGAGAAAGTGGCCAACGATAAAGTATGCATTATTGAAGCCAAATTCGAAACACTTTTTGTATTTATTCTGTACAAGATGCGGAGACACTCGGAAGTAGCTCAGGCACCTGGCAAAGTTACTGAGAAGTTGATACTGAATTTGGCACCCTGATACATTCCAGTTCCATTTTGCTGTCGAAACGAGCGAACAGTTCATGAGTTTGGTTTTCTCTGTAGTGAAATCGAATCTTTGACTCTCAGTGCAAAGGCGGCAGCTTAACTTACGCCTGCCTTGTACAGATTGTGCAGAGCGGCCGTGATTCGAAACTTATCGTTGAGAGGAGCGGAGGGAGAAGGGGGGGG